TGTAGATAAAGATAAGCTTATTCTAAAATTTACATGGAAAGGCGAAAGAACTAGAATAACTGAAACAGTTTCTTAAAAGGAAAATAAAGGAACATGAGCCACTACACACAGTCCTAAGATCTTCCACACAGCCATGCTCAAGACTGTGTGGCATTTGGTGGAAGACAGGAATGCAGATCAACGGAACAGAGTAGAGCACCCACAAACTGGCCCACACAAACACGCCCAAGTGATTTTTTGACAAAGGTACACAAGGAATTCCATGGAGGAAAGACAGTCTTTTCAACAAACGGTGCTGGAGCAATTAGACATCCACAGGCAAAAAAAGTAACCTCAACTTAAACCTCACACAGAATTAATTCAAAATGGATCCAAATCAATTATGTTAAACGTAAAACTAAAACTTTCATGAGAAAACAAAGGAGAAAATCTTCGGGACCTAGGACTAGAGGAATACTTTTTAGAAATGACACAGAAAGAACAGTCCATAAGAGGAAAAACAGTCGACAAACTAAACTTCATTAAAATTAGAAACTTCTGCTCTGCGGAGGACCCTGGGGTTGAAATAAGCTACAGACTAGAGAAAATATCTGCAAGCCATATATCCAACAAAGGATTTGTATCGAGAATATAAAAAGAACTCCCAACACTCACCAGTAAAAAAACCAAACAGTCCAACTAGAAAATGGGCAAAAGAGATGAGCAGACCAAAAAGGATCTACAGGTTGTAAACAGAACCAGAAAAGGTGTTCAACATCATTAGCCATCAGGAAATGCAAATTAAAATCACAATGAGATAGCACTATACTCCTAACAAAATGGCTAAAATAAAAAACAGTAATAAAACAGAAGCTTGAGAGGTTGCAGAGAAACAGGATCGCTCACACACTGCTGGTGGGAATGTGAAATGGTAGTCACTCTGGAGAACACTTCGGCAGTTTCTTATAAAAACTAAACGTACAACCCAGCAATTGCACCTTGGGCATCTATCCCAGAAAAATAAAAACTTATGTTCACATAAAATCTGTACATAAATGTTCACAGCAGCTCCAAACTGCAATTAGTCCAAATGGCTTTCAGCCAGTGAACAGTTAAACTGTGATACATCCATACAATAAAAGACTACTCAACGATAAAACGGAATGGACTACTGATATGTGCAACAGTCTGGATGGATTGCAGGGCAAATTTTGCTGAGAGAAAAAAACCAATCTCAGATGGTTACATACTATATGATTCCATTTATTTAATATTCTAGAAATGACAAAATTATAGATATGAAAACCAGATTAGCGGTTGCCAGGGGATCTGGATGAGAATGAGGTGGAACTGTGAACGGGTGGCATGAGGGACTGACTGCCTTGGTATGATGAAGGTCTGTGTCTTGATAGTGGTGGTGGAACAGAAACCTATTCACGGGGTAAAACTGCATAGAACCACATGCACATACACACATAAAACTGGTGAAATCTGAATAAGGTCTGTAGCTTAGGTAACAGTATTTTTCTAACATCAACCCCCTGGTTTTAACATTGCACTGCTAAGGTATGAGATGTTAACACTGGAGGAAACAGGTGAAGGGTACAGCAGTATTTCTTAAAACTTCCTGTGAGTCTATAGACAGTAAATAAAAAAGGATAAAGCAATCAAAATCACAAAAGGCAAATTTTCTTTTTTTTTTTTTTGTCTTTTTCCGTGTCCGGCAACGGATCGCAACCCTCAGTGTTGCTCCCGTACCGGACCGGGGACCGGCAACGGGATTGCAACCTTCGGTGTTGCTCCCGCACCTCGCTCAGCCAGTGAGCGGCCGGTCTGTATGTGGGATCCGAACCCTCGGGCGGGAGCGCCGCCGCACTCCCAAGCAGCGCACTGTAGCAGTGCGCCACTGGGCCGGCCCCCAAAAGGCAAATTTTCAAAATCATCTATTCCCAATATACCATCTAGAAGCTCTGTTAATATTTACTTGCAAAGACTAACTTGATAACTTAGCAGTAAACTAATTCATAAAATAATTATATTAAATATTAAAATCAGCTTTATAAGTTTACATTGTCTCCACTCCACAGCATATTTTCTTTGACAATGGTGAATCAGGACTTGTGTTTAGGTCAAGTTTGTTTGGGACACAATTCTAACCCGGAGCCTGTGGCGGCTGCTTGTGGGAACACTGCCCAGGGCTATGGAAGGACTTTGGCACTTCCTGGCAAGTACTGGGCACGGCATTAAAATGTGCTTTCAGAGAATTCCACGCCAATCCAAGTGCGCTCAAATTCCTCACAGCATGAATCTCATTTTAAAGAACAACTTCTGCATGAGGAAGTTTTATTAGAAAAAAGGTACTGGTGCACAATAGCAAAGCATTCATAAAGAACTCACGCAGAGTGGCTAGGAGAGCATTAGGATGCCAATGAGTGTACGAGGGACATGAACGAAGTCACACGCACACAATTACAAAAACCATATACATGAGGTCCAGTGTGGGCTCTCAACAAATATTTACTGAAACAATGAATAAAAAGGAAAAGTTATTTAGTGACAGAAATGGGGAAATGTTCGATCCATTAGTTAAGATTGAGCTCGGAGAAAACACTCAGTGCCTATTAAATTACTCATCTTATCTCCCCCAAATAAATAATGCCGGGTGTGGTGGGATGCGATACAAGTAGCACTCGATCTGTGCAGTATAAACCCAGAAAGACCTTCTGGAAAGTTCTATGGCAGTGTGACCACAGAGCCTGATCCTGCAACCTCATAAACTTAAAAGGACTGTAGCTCTGAAGGGGGCCTTCCAGAGGTATGGCTGCACCTTCTCCAGGCCGGTGTGGAAACAAGGGTCTGAGTGGCTGTGAATGGTGAGGCCAGGCACGATCACCTGTCTTTCCCACGTCACAAAGTGTGTGGAACCATCACACACTGTCTGGCCACCCTCGCCCTTTCTCTCTGAACACTTTTCACTATCCGTCTGTAGAACCCAAACGCTTCTATGATTTACCTGTTCTCATGCGTTAACTCTAGCAGCACCCAATGGTGCGCCGGGAGCCACTGCTAATGAGTGATAAGCCACCAGCACAAACAGCACAAATGGAATCTGGGGTTACAAGCAAGACCATCTGGACCATCACATCACTGACACCCACTTGCCCGGGACAACTGAAGCCATGCACTGTCAATGGGCGGTGACTGTCAATAGGTGACTGTCAGTGGGCGGTGACTGTCAGTAATAGGTGGTGACGGTCAATGGGCGGTGACTGTCAATAGGTGGTGACTGTCAGTGGGTGGCGACTGTCAATAGGTGGTAACTGTCAACGGGCGGCAACTGTCAATAGGTGGTGACCGTCAACGGGTGGTGACTGTCAACAGGTGGTGACCGTCAGTGGGCGGTGACTGTCAACGGGCGGCGATTGTCAATAGGCGGTGGCTGTCAAGAGGCGGCAACTGTCAACAGACGTAAGAAGGGGTAGAAAGTGGAGCTGCTGGAAGAGGCCCAGCAGCGCGAAGCGCCCCCTCCTGCCGTGGCAAGGCCGCTCAGCCGGGCGCAGGCGGGGCACAGCTCCCGGCCACCCGCCCACAGCCCTGAGGCAACAGATGAAGGGCCACTAGCGTCCGTGAGAACCACCTGCTCCCTCGTTCTCAAGCGAAACCCACATTTTCTTAAGTGCCGAACGCAAGGACACCGCGGCCTCGGTTTCTGGTCTTCATGGCAGGCACCCCCTTCCCGTGTGCCAGCCGCTCTCGGCCGCCCGTCCCCTGAACGGGGCTCCGCGGAGCGGAGGGAAGTGACGGGCCGGCGCGTCGCCTCAGGCACGAGGAAGCCTCGACGAGCAGCGGCGCGCGCCCGGGACGCGCGAGGAGGGGCGCGGGGGGACAGGACGCGGGGCCGGGCCCGGGAGGACCGGCGTTTCCCTGCGGCTGAGGCGCGCCCCGGGACCCCGCCCGCCGCCCCCGCGCAGGGC